TGGACTTAGCTGGTGGCCTGGCTTGTGACCTTCATGTCTGTAGGAGACAACTGGGGGGCGGGGGTCAAACAACAAATGTTGGAGAGAACAGTACTTAGCCCCAAAGCTACTGAGAGGCAGATAGAACTGCCCACAAGCAGCTTCTGCAGAAGCGTGGCACTGGCTCCCGAAGAGCAGGGTTTGGCAGCTTCAGCACTGTCCTCAGGAGCGCAGAAGACACCTTGCTCTCACACACTCCTGGCCCCAACTGAGTCCAGGGTGAGACGTACTCAAGGGAGGTCTGGGGCTCTGTGAGCTTAGGGTCAGCCTGGGGGAGACGAGTCCACTGAGACAAAACACTTCTGCACTTTAGAGTTTTTATTTTTTAAAAGCTTATCCCAAGTAGTCCCACAGTTTTATTTATTTATTATTTTTTGGTGGAACCTGGGATTGAACTCCGACCCTTGCGCTTGCCAGACAAGTGCTTATTCTACTGAGCCATCTCCTTGGCCCCTTCAGAGTTTTTAGAACGTGTACACCAGGCATAAGTGCAGTGGTACACACCTGTAACCATCCCCTTCCCTTTTTTTTCTTATTAAAGTTGTGGGCTGGGGATGTGGCTCAGTGGTATGGCCCTTTCGCCTTGCATACACAAGGCCCTGGGCTTGAGTCCCAGTACCACACAAAGAGGCTGGGAGCCAGGTATGGAATGCACTTGTAATCCCAATGTTCCACATGCTGAGATAGGAGATTTATTGTAAATTCAAGGCTACATAGTTCAGAAGCCACCCTGGGCTACTATATAGGCTGTTCTGAAAAAAATGCTTTGGGGCTATAGTCCAGTGTAAAGTGTGTGTGCTAGTAAGCTTTCTACAATGGCCTTGATGCCCAGCACCAAACACCACATAAGCAGTCATTTTTTTTTTTGCGGAACCGGGGATTGAACTCAGGCCCTTGCGCTTGCCAGGAAAGCACTTATTCTACTGAGCCATCTCCCCAGCCCCAGTCATTTCTTAAGAGCCCTGATTGAATGGGCCTGTAACCCCAGCACTTGGGAGGCTGAAGCAGGAGGATCATCATGAGTTCAAGGTCAGCCTGGGCTGCATAGTGACTGCCTGTGTCAAAAACAAGGCCTATAGATTCATAAGTTTAGTTTCCTCGTTTATTTT